ACCGGGTGATATCGAGTGGAGTGGTTTTTTTGGTTTTTTTGGTTTTTTTTGGTTTTTTTGAGTGTTGAGTTTGTGTGCGTGTGAGTGTGAGTGAGAGTTACGATATTTTTGTGCGATAATTTGATTGTGTGAGTGATTTTTGATTTTATTAGTGTGTTTTTGAATATTTTTTGTTGTGTGTGGGTGATTTTGGGTGTGTTTGGTTGTGAGTGATTTTGAGTGTGTGATTATTGTGTGTTGTTTATTTTTGAAAAAAAAACAAAAATAATTTTAAAAAATGGACGGCCGTTTTGGTGCAAAAAGGGCGCGGACTGAGGAGGATCCGCGATTGGCTCCTTTTGGGGAGTTTCTCAGGGCACGAGGGGCTGAGGGTATCCCTTGTGCCACCCTGCTGCAGGCACTTACAGTGCTGCAGATTATACCGACAGACTGCCGGTTTAGTGACTACTGCTGGGCCACCTGGCAGGTTATGGCCAGGTACGCTGGTCCGCTGAGCGGACACAGAATAAGTGAGTTCTTCTGAAACATTTCAGCCAATCATTGAAATAATCTTTTTGTGCACCATTCTTGAAGTGTTAGAAATCACTTTCTCATCGTTTAGATAACAACACTTCAATAGGTAATAATAAATAACAATAGATAGCAATAGACAAACGGTGTATCGTATAGAAATTGCAAAAAGCCGATGAATTTCATCTGTTCGAGAGCAAATCGGGCGAATTGTGTGGCCCTGAGCATATTACATTACGAAAATCTTCGCAGAAATAAACACATTCAGATAAATGAGAACGAATAATAGAAGTACATCGAACATTGGGTAAATTTCGTTGTCCTTTCGAGCATTTACTAATTAATTGCTTTCAGGGGAGATGGAGAGAACGGGAGTGATCCCGGACGGCGTGGTGGACGCCTTTTGCCGGCTCAACGAGGTGGTGCTCGTAGTACATCCCCTGTACTCGGGCACCCCTCTCAAAATATTCGGAAAACCCGGCAAACCGGTAAAAGAAATCGCGGAGTGTCTGGGGACGTATGCCGCACTCAACATCCAAGCGGCGACGACGGAAAACATACAAAAAAAAGTACGCACTTGAAATGGCTTTGGAAGCTGATTTATGACCTTAACACTTTCAAAACTCCTGTTTTTGCCAGTTTGATGGATTGTCGGAATGAGCAGAAAATTTTGATAATGTAAAAATAATTAAAAGTATATCTGTTGAGGACAATATAGACATCACTTTTGATATTTATAGTAGCAATAATCAGTCATCGCTGTTATTACTGCTTTCCCATACCATTACAAAAATCGCCTGGGTGTACCGAACACAGCCAGTTAATGGCACTTACTGCGGGAAATTATTCCATTCTGTTGCAACGTCGATCACTAGGATCGATAAATGAATTCCTTTGGATGAGTATCTTAAGTAATAGCCATCATTCGTTTTT